CATATCCCACATCCAGTGTCTCTATTCCCCACATCCCATACCCTATATCCCCATATCCCCTACCCCCATACCATATCCCACTTATATCCTATATCCCCCTATACCGTACCCCATGTCCCCGTATCCCATGCCCTATATACCCCTATCCCATACCTTATACCGTCATCCCCCACATCCCATGCCCTATAACCCCATATCCCTGTACCCCATACCCTCTATCCACATATCCCATGCCCTGTACCCCCATATCCCCCATCCCGTGCCCGGCATCCCCATATCCCACATCCCATGTCTCTATTCCCCACATCCCATACCCTATATCCCCATATCCCCTACCCCCATACCATATCCCACTTATATCCTATATCCCCCTATACCGTACCCCATGTCCCCGTATCCCATGCCCTATATACCCCTATCCCATACCTTATACCGTCATCCCCCACATCCCATACCCTATAACCCCATATCCCCACATCCCACAACCCATATCCCTGTACCCCATACCCTCTATCCACATATCCCATGCCCTGTACCCCCATATCCCACATCCCATGCCCTATATACCCCTATCCCATACCTTATACCGTCATCCCCCACATCCCATACCCTATAACCCCATATCCCCACATCCCACACACCATATCCCTGTACCCCATACCCTCTATCCACATATCCCATGCCCTGTACCCCCCATATCCCCCATCCCCCATCCCCATATCCCACATCCCATGTCTCTATTCCCCACATCCCATACCCTATATCCCCATATCCCCTACCCCCATACCCTATCCCACTTATATCCTATATCCCCCTATACCATACCCCTATGTCCCCGTATCCCACATCCCATGCCCTATATACCCCTATCCCATACCCTATAACCCCATATCCCCACATCCCACACCCCATATCCCACATCCCATGCCCTATATACCCCTATCCCATACCCTATAACCCCATATCCCCACATCCCACACCCCATATCCCTGTACCCCATACCCTCTATCCACATATCCCATGCCCTGTACCCCCATATCCCCCATCCCGTGCCCGGCATCCCCATATCCCACATCCCATGCCCTATAAACCCCTATCCCATACCCTATACCGTCATCCCCCACATCCCATACCCTATAACCCCATATCCCCCATCCCATGCCCTATATCCCCACATCCCACACCCCATATCCCTGTACCCCATACCCTATATCCTCATACCCCATGCCCTATACCCCCATATCCCCCATCCCGTGCCCGACATCCCCATGTCCCGTACACGATATCTCCGTATCCCATACCCTATATCCTCATATCCCATGCCCGATATCCCCATATCCCCCATCCCATACCCTATATCTTCATATCCCATGCCCTATACCCCCAATCCCATACCATATATTCTCATATCCCATGCCCTATACCCTCATATACCATACCCTATATCCCCACATCCCACACCCAATGTCCCCGTATCCCATACCCTATACCCTCATATCCCATACTCTATATCCCCCATCCCATGCCCTATATCCTCATACCCCCATCTTCCCCATATCCCATCCCATATATCTTCATATTCCATGCCCTATATCCTCATATCCCATATCCTATATCCACACATCCCACACCTGATACCCTGTATCTGATACCCTATAACCTCATATGCTATACCCTCTATCACCTCATCCCACGCTCTGTATTCTCATATCCCATACCCTATACCCTCATATGCCATACCCCATATCCCTATCCCATACCCTGTACCGTCACAACCCATATCCTATATCCCCTATTCCGTACATTATACCGTTGCAACTCATATCCCATATCCCCATCCCATACCCTATACCGTCATAACCCATACCCTATGTCCCCTATTACATACTCTGTACCGTCACAACCTATACCCTATATCCCCATCCCATAACCTATACCATCACAACCCAAACCCCCCCCATCCCATACCCCACATCCCCATCCCATACCCCATATCCCATACCCCACATCCCCACCCCATACCCCACATCCCCATCCCACATCCCCATCCCATACCCCACATCCCCATCCCATACCCCACATCCCCATCCCATACCCCATATCCCCATACATCCCATCATACCCCATCCCCGTCCCATACCCCACATCCCCATCCCATACCCCATATCCCCATCCCATACCCCATATCCCTCCATATCCCATACCCCATCCCCATCCCATACCCCACATCCCCATCCCATACCCCACATCCCCATCCCATACCCCATCCCCACCCCATCCCATACCCCACATCCCCATCCCATACCCCCTATCCCCATCCCATACCCCCTATCCCCATCCCATACCCCACATCCCCATCCCATACCCCACATCCCCATCCCATACCCCACATCCCCATCCCATACCCCACAACCCCATCCCACATCCCCATCCCATACCCCACATCCCCATCCCATACCCCACATCCCCACCCCATATCCCATACCCCATATCCCATACCCCACATCCCCATCCCACATCCCCACCCCATACCCCATATCCCATACCCCACCTCATATCCCATACCCCACATCCCACATCCCATACCCCACATCCCATATCCCATACCCCATCCCCTATATGCCACATCCCATATCCCATACCCCACACCCCATACCCCACACTCCATACCCCGTATCCCATACCCCATATCCCATACCCCACACCCCATACCCCATATCCCATACCCCATATCCCATACCCCATATCCCATACCCCATATCCCATACCCCATATCCCATACCCCACATCCCCACCCCATACCCCATATCCCCTCTCCCAGCTGGCCCAGAAGTACGACCCCCAGCGGGAGCGGGAGCTCCGCGCCTGGATCGAGGCCACCACCGGCCGCCGCATCGGGGACAACTTCATGGAGGGCCTCAAGGACGGGGTCATCCTGTGCGAGTACGGCCCTGACCCCCACCCCCCCCCACACCACTGACCCCCTCCTTGGAGCATGGGGTCACCCCTGGGGTGACCTTGATCCCAATGGACCCAACCTTGATCCCAATGGGACCCAACCTTGACCACAAGAAGACCTAATCTTGACCTCAATGAGACCCAACCTTGACCCCAACGGGACCCAACCATGACCACAACGAGACCTAATCTTGACCTCAATGGGACCCAACCTTGACCCCAATGGGACCCAACCTTGACCCCAATGGGACCCAACCTTGACCTCAATGGGACCCAACCTTGACCTCAATGGGACCCAACCTTGACCTCAATGGACCCGACCTTGATCCCAATGGACCCAACCTTGACCCCAACAAGACCTAATCTTGACCTCAATGGGACCCAACCTTGACCCCAACGGGACCCAACCATGACCACAACGAGACCTAATCTTGACCTCAATGGGACCCAACCTTGACCCCAATGGGACCCAATCTTGACCTCAATGGGACCCAACCTTGACCCCAATGGGACCCAACCTTGACCTCAATGGGACCGAACCATGACCCCAATGGACCCAACCTTAAACCAATCTTGACTCCAATGGGACCCAATCTTGACCCCAATGAGACCCAACCATGACCCCAACGAGACACAACTTTGACCCCAATGGGACCCAACCTTGACCCCAGTGGGACCGAACCTTGACCCCAAGGGGACCCAACCTTGACCCCAATGGGACCCAATCTTGACCCCAATGAGAACCAACCTTGACCCCAATGGGACCCAACCTTGACCCCAACGGGACCCAACCTTGACCCCAACGGGACCCAACCATGACCACAACGAGACCTAATCTTGACCTCAGTGGGACCCAACCTTGACCCCAATGGACCCAACCTTAACCCAACCTTGACACCAATGAGACCCAACCATGACCCCAATGAGACCCAACCTTGACCCCAATGAGACCCAACCTTGACCTCAATGGGCCCCAACCTTGACCCCAATGAGACCCAACCTTGACCCCAATGAGACCCAACCTTGACCCCAATGGACCCAACCTTGACCCCAGTGAGACCCAACCATGATCCAACGAGACTCAACTTTGACTCCAATGGGACCCAATGTGACCTTTGACCCCCTGACCCCCAGGCTCATCAACAAGCTCCAACCCGGCTCCGTGCAGAAGGTGAATGAACCCGTCCAGAACTGGCACAAGGTGAGGAGGGGACCCCAAAGTGGGGGTGAGGCAAGGACATGGGGGTCCTATGGGGCACTTGGGGGTCCTGTAGGGGCACTTGGGGGTCCTAAGGGGGCACTTGGGGGTCCTATGGGGCACTTGGGGGTCCTATGGGGGCACTTGGGGGTCCTATGGGGCACTTGGGGGTCCTAAGGGGGCACTTGGGGGTCCTACGGGGGCACTTGGGGGCTTTGGGGTGGACTTGGGGTTCCGGGGGGCAGGGGTCCCACGGCCTCTCTCTGCCCCCCATGTGCAGCTGGAGAATATCGGGAACTTCCTGAGGGCCATCACGCGCTATGGGGTGAAGCCCCACGACATCTTCGAGGCCAACGACCTCTTTGAGAACACCAATCACACGCAGGTGCAGTCCACCCTCATCGCCCTGGCCAGCCAGGTGAGCCCCACATCCCCATCCCATCCCTGTGACGTCACAATCCCATCCCTGTGATGTCACAATCCCATCCCTGTGACATCACAATCCCATCCCTGTGACGTCCCCATCCCATCCCTGTGACGTCACAATCCCATCCCTGTGACATCACAATCACATCCCTATGACGTCCCCATCCCATCCCTGTGACATCACAATCCCATCCCTGTGACATCACAATCACATCCCTGTGACATCACAATCACATCCCTATGACGTCCCCATCACACCCCTGTGACATCACAATCCCATCCCTATGACGTCACAATCCCATCCCTGTGACATCACAATCCCATCCCTGTGACATCACAATCCCATCCCTGTGATGTCCCCATCCCATCCCTGTGACATCACAATCACATCCCTGTGACATCCCCATCACATTCGTGACATCACAATCCCATCCCTATGACGTCACAATCCCATCCCTGTGACATCACAATCCCATCCCTGTGACATCACAATCCCATCCCTATGACGTCCCCATCACATCCCTGTGACATCACAATCCCATCCCTGTGACGTCACAATCCCATCCCTGTGACGTCACAATCCCATCCCTATGACGTCACAATCCCATCCCTATGACGTCACAATCCCATCCCTATGACGTCACAATCCCATCCCTGTGACATCACAATCCCATCCCTATGACGTCCCCATCACATCCCTGTGACGTCACAATCCCATCCCTATGACATCACAATCCCATCCCTGGGACCCCAGGGACAATGCGGGGGGGGATCCCAGTTGGTCCCCACTTGCCCTCACCTGGGTGATGGGGATGCATGGGAGGGGTCGATGGGGGGGGATGTGGGGCTCATGGGGGGCAATGTGGGGTCTCTCGGCCAGGCCAAGACCCTGGGGAACAATGTGGGGCTGGGGGTGAAATACGCCGAGAAGCAGCAGCGGCGCTTCCAGCCGGAGAAGCTGCGCGAGGGGCAGAGCATCATCGGGCTGCAGGTACCAGGGATGTGGGGCGGGGATGTGGGGCAGGGATGGGGGGTAGGGATGAGGGGCAGAGCATCATCGGGCTGCAGGTACCAGGGATGTGGGGCAGGGATGTGGGGCAGGGATGGGGGGTAGGGATGAGGGGCAGAGCATCATCGGGCTGCAGGTACCGGGGATGTGGGGCGGGGATGTGGGGCAGGGATGGGGGCAGGGATGAGGGGCAGAGCATCATCGGGCTGCAGGTACCGGCGGGCATCATCAGGCTGCAGGTACCGGGGATGGGTGGCAGGGATGGGGGGCAGGGATGAGGGGCAGAGCATCATCGGGCTGCAGGTACCAGGGATGTGGGGCGGGGATGTGGGGCAGGGATGGGGGCAGGGATGGGGGGCAGGGTTGAGGGGCAGAGCATCATCAGGCTGCAGGTACCAGGGATGTGGGGTGGGGATGGGGGGCGGGGGGCAGGGATGTGGGGATGGGGGGCAGGGATGGGGAGCAGGGATGTGGGATGGGGGGCAGGGATGCGGGATGGGGGCAGGGATGCGGGGCAGGGATGCAGGATGGAGGGCAGGGATGCAGGAATGGGGGGCAGGGATGCAGGAATGGGGGGCAGGGATGCGGGATGGGGGGCAGGGATGCAGGATGGGGGGGGGCAGGGATGCAGGATGGGGGGCAGGGATGCAGGAATGGGGGGCAGGGATGCGGGATGGGGGGCAGGGATGCAGGATGGGGGGCAGGGATGCAGGATGGGGGGCAGGGATGCAGGATGGGGGGCAGGGATGCGGGGATGGGGGGGCACAGGGATGCGGGATGTGGGGCAGGGATGCAGGATGGAGGGCAGGGATGCAGGATGGGGGGCAGGGATATGGGATATGTGGGGACACAGGGGCCCACCTGGGCACAGGGGCAGACCCAGGGATATGGGGGTCCCGGAGGGATACAGGGCCAGAGGAGCCTGAAGCATGGGGAGGACACAAGGACCCGATGGGGACACCGCCTCCCACCCCACACAAGGGGTGAGAGCGCCCACAGGCACCTCCCATCCAGCTCGAGGTCCCCATTGTCCTCCCCTGCCCCACATTGTGTGTGTCCGTCCCCCCCACCCCACCCCACACCCCCTAGATGGGCACCAACAAGTTCGCCAGCCAGCAGGGCATGACGGCCTATGGGACCCGGCGCCACCTCTATGACCCCAAACTGGGCACGGAGCAGCCCCTGGACCAGGCCACCATCAGCCTCCAGATGGGCACCAACAAGGGGGCCAGCCAGGTAGGGAGCTGTGGGGCTGCTTGGAGGGGTGGTCCCAGTGTGGGGTGGGGGGCTGTGGGGTGGGGGAACTTCAATGGGACCCAACCGTGATCACAACGGGAGCCAAGCTGGACTTCAATGGGACCCAACCTTGACCTCAATGGGACCCAACCTTGACCTCAATGGGACCCAACCTTGACCTCAATGGGACCCAACCTTGACCTCAATGGGACCCAACCTTGACCCCAATGGGACCCAACCTTGACCCCAACGTGACCCAACCTTGACCTCAATGGGACCCAACCTTGACCTCAATGGGACCCAACCTTGACCTCAATGGGACCCAACCTTGACCCCAATGGGACCCAACCTTGACCCCAACGTGACCCAACCTTGACCTCAATGGGACCCAACCTTGACCTCAATGGGACCCAACCTTGACCTCAATGGGACCCAACCTTGACCTCAATGGGACCCAGTCTTGACCTCAATGGGACCCAACCTTGACCTCAATGGGACCCAGTCTTGACCTCAATGGGACCCAACCTTGACCCCAACGGGACCCAATCTTGACCTCAATGGGACCCAACCTTGACCCCAATGGGACCCAGTCTTGACCTCAATGGGACCCAACCTTGACCTCAATGTGACCCAACCTTGACCCCAATGAGACCCAACCTTGACCCCAATGAGACCCAACCTTGACCCCAATGAGACCCAACCTTGACCCCAAGGGGACCCAATCATAACACCAACCTTGACCCCAACGAGACCCAACGTTGACCTCAACAACACCCAATCTTGACCTCAATGACATCCAACCTTGACCCCAATGAGACCCTACATTGACCTCAATGGGACCCAACCTTGACCCCAATGAGACCCAACCTTGACCCCCCTGAGACACAACCTTGACCCCAACGGAACTCAATTATGACCCCAATGGGACCCAATCCTGACCCCAATAGGACCCAACCTTGATCCCAATGGACCAAACCTTGACTCCAACAAGACCCAACCTTGACCCCAGTGACATCCAACCTTGACCCCAATGAGACCCCACATTGACCTCAATGAGACCCAACCATGACCCCAATGGGACCCAACTTTGACCCCAATGAGACCCAACCTTGACCCCAGTGACATCCAACCATGACCCCAATGAGACCCTACCTTGACCCCAACGGGACCCAATCTTGATCCCAATGGGACCCAATTAGGACTCCAACGAGACCCAACCTTGACCCCAACGGGACCCAACTTTGACCCTAACCTTGCCCCCAAGAACACCCAACCTTGACCCCAACAACACCCAACCTTGCCCCCAACTTTGACTCCAAGGGGACTCAACCATGACCCAACCTTGCCCCCAATGACACCCAACCTTGCCCCCGACACCCAACCTTGCCCCCAACGACACCCAACCTTGACCCCGACACCCAACTTTGCCCCCAACGACACCCAACCTTGCCCCCAACGACACGCAACCTTGACTGCAACCTTGCCCCCAACAACACCCATGACCCCAACCTTGCCCCGAACGACACCCAACCTGGATGCCAACCTTGCCCCCAACGGCACCCAACCTTGACCCCGACACCCAACCTTGCCCCCAACACCCAACCTTGACCGCAACCTTGACCCCAATGACACCCAACCTTGACCCCAACGACACCCAACCTTGACCGCAACCTTGACCCCAATGACACCCAACCTTGACCCCGATACCCAACCTTGACCCCAATGACACCCAACCTTGACCGCAACCTTGACCCCAATGACACCCAACCTTGACCGCAACCTTGACCCCAACGACACCCAACCTTGACCGCAACCTTGACCCCAATGACACCCAACCTTGACCCCGATAGCCAACCTTGACCCCGACACCCAACCTTGACCGCAACCTTGACCCCAATGACACCCAACCTTGACCGCAACCTTGACCCTAATGACACCCAACCTTGACCGCAACCTTGACCCCAATGACACCCAACCTTGACCCCAACGACACCCAACCTTGACCCCAACGACACCCAACCTTGACCGCAACCTCGACCCCAATGACACCCAACCTTGACCGCAACCTTGACCCTAACGACACCCAACTTTGACCCCAATGACTACCAACTTTGATCCCAACCTTCCCCCAACGACACCCACCCTTGCCCCCAACCTTGCCCCCAACGACACCCAACTTTGACCGCGACACCCAACCTTGACCCCAACGACACCCAACCTTGACTGCAACCTTGACCCTAACGACACCCAACTTTGACCCCAACGACACCCAACTTTGATCCCAACCTTCCCCTAACGACTCCCAACCTTGCCCCCAATGACACCCAACGTTGACCCCAATGACACCCAACTTTGATCCCAACCTTCCCCTAACGACACCCAAATTTGACCCTAACGACACCCACCCTTGCCCCCAACGACACCCAATGTTGACCCCAACGACACCCAACTTTGCCCCCAACGACACCCAACTTTGATCCCAACCTTCCCCTAACGACACCCAACCTTGCCCCCAACGACACCCAACCTTGCCCCCAACGACACCCAACCTTGACCCCGACACCCAACTTTGATCCCAACCTTGCCCCCAACGACACCCAACTTTGACCCCAACAACACCCAACTTTGACCCCAATGACACCCAACCTTGCCCCAACCTTGCCCCCAACGACACCCAACGTTGATCCCAACGACACCCAACGTTGCCCCCAACGACACCCAACTTTGACCCCAATGACACCCAACCTTGACCCCAACGTTGCCCCCAACGACACCCAACGCTGCCCCCAACGACACCCAACGTTGACCGCAACGACACCCAACCTTGCCAACGACACCCAACTTCGACCCCAATGACACCCAACTTTGATCCCAACCTTCCCCTATCGATACCCACCCTTGCCCCCACCCTCCCCCCTCAACGTACAACCCTCCATGGGGACCCCCCCTTCCCCTTATCCCTTGGCTTCATGGTGTCGGTGCCGCAGGCGGGGATGACGGCGCCGGGCACGAAGCGGCAGATCCTGGCGGCGCCGGCGTTGGGCATGGAGCGTTGCGACGCGCTCACCATCGGCCTGCAGATGGGCAGCAACAAGGGAGCCTCGCAACGGGGCATGACCGTCTACGGCCTGCCCCGCCAGGTCTGCGACCCCAAGTACTGCGCCGGCCTCCTCGACGGCCTCGACGGGCCCAATCATCACCCCTGATGCATAGGGCATGGTGGGGGGGGGGGAGGTGGGGGGGGGGGGGGGGACAAACACAGACACAGAGGTTGAGGGGTGCACATGGAGATGGGGGGCACGAGAGGCCTGAGGAGATAAATGGGGATGGGGGGACGTGAGGCCCCTTGGGATGCACATGGGGATGGGGGATACAGGGATATGGGGGGGACATAGGGACACACATGGGGATGGGTGATACAGGGATATGGGGGGGCACATGGACATGGGGAGGACATAGGGATGCACATGGAGATGGGGGATACAAGGGGCCTGGGGAGATAAATGGGGATGGGGAGGACATAGGGCACATGGAGATGGGATGCACATGGGGATGAGGGATACAGGGATGGGGGGGGACCCTTGGGATGCACATGGGGATGGGGGATATGGGGGGGCACATGGGATAAATGGGGATGGGGGATGTGGGATATGGGATGCACATGGGGATGGGGGATACAGGGATATGGGGGGGACATAGGGATGCACATGGAGATGGGGGGCACGAGAGGCCTGAGGAGATAAATGGGGATGGGGGATGTGAACATGGGATATGGGATATGGGGGGGACAGGGATATGGGGGGGACAGGGATATGGGGGGGACATAGGGATGCACATGGAGATGGGGGGCACAAGGGGCCTGAGGAGACAAATAGGGATGGGGGGACATGAAGCCCCTTGGGATGCACATGGGGGTAGGGGATACAGGGATATGGGGGGACATAGGGACACACATGGAGATGGGGGATACAGGGATATGGGGGGTGACAGGGACATGGGGAGGACATAGGGATGCACATGGAGATGGGGGGCACGAGGGGCCTGAGGAGATAAATGGGGATGGGGGGACGTGAGGCCCCTTGGGATGCACATGGGGATGGGGGATACAGGGATATGGGGGGGACATAGGGACACACATGGAGATGGGGGATACAGGGATATGGGGGGGCACATGGACATGGGGAGGACATAGGGATGCACATGGAGATGGGGGGCACAAGGGGCCTGAGGAGACAAATGGGGATGGGGGGACGTGCACCCCCTTGGGATGCATATGGGGGTGGGGGATACAGGGATATGGGGAGGACATAGGGACACACATGGGGATGGGGACACAGGGATATGGGGGCACAGGGACATGGGGAGGACAGGGGATGCACATGGAGATGGGGACACAGGGACTTGGGGATACATGGGGATGGGGGGAGCCCCTTGGGATGCACATGGGTGTGGGGGATACAGGGATATGGGGGGGGACAGGGACATGGGGATGTACATGGAGATGGGGGGCACAAGGGGCCTGAGGAGATAAATGGGGATGGGGGGATGTGAACCCCCTTGGGATGCACATGGAGGTGGGGGATACAGGGATATGGGGGGCACAGGGACTTGGGGGGCACATGAACATGGGGGGCACACACATGGACCTGTGGGGTACACAGGGACCTTAGAGGGAACACAGACCTAGAGGGGGACACAGCCCCTTGGGGGACACATCCACACACACACAAGGGCCCTTTTGGGGGGCAGGGGGGGGGGGCAAGCACAAGACACCCCCCCCCCCAACAATGAAGCCACTGAGACACAATAAAAGCCACATGCAAACTAAGCCTGGAGAAACGGGGGTGCTGGGGGGCTGGAGAGAGCAATTGGATGGGGGTCCCCCCATGTGTCCCCCCCCACATCCCTATGGGGCTCCCCATATCCCTATGGGGCTCCACCTTATGCCAAGGACACTCAGCCCCAGCCCAGCCCCACCAGGGCATTTATTCATTGTCCCCCCCCCCCCCAAGTGGGGGTCCCATCCCTGTGGGTTTGGGGGGGGGGGGCACACAATGGGGTGACACCATAGGGGACCCAAAGTTATAAACCGGAATGCGTCCCCCCCACAATAAGGGAGCAGAATTGGACCCCCCCCAATGTCCTTGACCCCCATCCCAGTATCTTGGGGGGCACGGGGGGGGGGGGAACTGGGGCCCCCCCCTTGCTATTGGTTGGCAGCTTCACAAGCATCGATCCAGTCGCTGTAGACGTCCACGGGCTCCGAGAGGTCTCCATGCGGGGGGGGGAGTTAAGGGGTCTAATGGGGAAATGGGGGGGGGACAGGCCCCAGTATGGGGGGCGGTACCAGTATGGCGAGGGGGGGAGTCCCAGTATGGTGGGGGGGGGTCCCGGTATGGCGGGGGGGGTCCCAGTATGGTGGGGGGGGCGGTCCCAGTATGGTGAGGGGGGGAGTCCCAGTATGGTGGGGGGGGGTCCCAGTATGGTGGGGAGGGGGGTCCCAGTATGGTGGGGGGGGGGGGTCCAGTATGGTGGGGGGGTGATCCCAGTATGGCGGGGGGGGTGGTCCCAGTATGGCGGGGGGGGGTCCCGGTACGGCGGGGGAGGGGTCCCAGTATGGTGGGGAGGGGGGTCCCAGTATGGTGGGGGGTGGTCCCAGTATGGTGGGGGGCTTCCCAGTATGGTGGGGGGGTGATCCCAGTAGGGCGGGGGGGTTCCCAGTATGGTGGAGGGGTGCTCCCAGTAATGTAACGTGGGGGGGATGCTCCCGGTATGGCAGGGGAAGTGCTCCCAGTATGGTAGGGGGGTTCTCCCAGTAACACAGGGGGCTGCTCCCAGTACCAAAATGGGCTCCTCCCAGTACCACAATGGGGTCCTCCCAGTACCACAACGGGGTCCCCCCAGTACCACAACGGGGTCCCCCCAGTACCACAACGGGGTCCTCCCAGTACCACAATGGGGTCCCCCCAGTACCACAATGGGGACCCCCAGTATCACAATGGGGTCCCCCCAGTACCACAATGGGGTCCTCCCAGTGACACAACGGGGTCCCCCCAGTACCACAATGGGGTCCCCCCAGTACCACAACGGGGTCCCCCCAGTATCACAACGGGGTCCTCCCAGTACCACAGTGGGGTCCCCCCAGTACCACAACGGGGTCCCCCCAGTACCACAATGGGCTCCTCCCAGTGACACAGTGGGGTCCCCCCAGTACCACAACGGGGTCCCCCCAGTATCACAACGGGGTCCCCCCAGTACCACAATGGGCTCCTCCCAGTGACACAATGGGGTCCTCCCAGTACTACAGTGGGGTCCTCCCAGTACCACAGTGGGGTCCCCCCAGTACCACAATGGGCTCCTCCCAGTGACACAGTGGGGTCCTCCCAGTACCACAATAGGGTCCCCCCAGTGACACAATGGGGTCCTCCCAGTACCACAGTGGGGTCCCCCCAGTACCACAACGGGGTCCCCCCAGTGACACAGGGGAGCTGCTCCCAGTATGTTGAGGGGGTCCCCCCAGTACCACAATGGGGTCCTCCCAGTGACACAGTGGGGTCCCCCCAGTACCACAATGGGGTTCTCCCAGTACCACAATAGGGTCCCCCCAGTGACACAATGGGGTCCTCCCAGTACCACAATGGGGTCCCCCCAGTACTACAGTGGGGTCCCCCCACTACCACAATGGGGTCCTCCCAGTACCACAATGGGGTCCCCCCAGTACCACAGTGGGGTCCTCCCAGTACCACAATGGGGCGCTCCCAGTACCACAATGGGGTCCCCCCAGTACCACAATGGGGTCCTCCCAGTACCACAATGGGGTCTTCCCAGTACCACAATGGGCTCCTCCCAGTGACACAGTGGGGTCCTCCCAGTACCACAGTGGGGTCCCCCCAGTACCACAGTGGGGTCCTCCCAGTACCACAATAGGGTCCCCCCAGTGACACAATGGGGTCCCCCCAGTGACACAATGGGGTCCCCCCAGTAAGGATACAGGTGATGGGCGTCTGGAACTCCTCCAGGCAGACGGTGCAGGAGATGACCCCCGTGTTTCGGGCACGGTCCCTGGTGTGTTGGGGGGGGGGTTGTGTTGGTTGTAGGGCACAAATGAGGGGTGACCCCCCCTTTTCCAAACCCCACATTGTGTGTGGGGGTCCCCCCCTTTTTTACCCCCCTTTTCACTCACATCTTGACGTCGCAGGACTTCTCGTGGTTGCAGAAGGGACACGTGAACTGAGTCTCCAGCGTCCCCGTCACCTTCTTCTTGGGGGGGGGCTTCCGCTTGGACTTGCGCCGCCCCATAGCCTATGGGGCAGGGGAGGGAGGCGGTGAATGGAAAGGGGGGGGGGGGGGGGATGGATGCAATCCTCCCTGCCCCCATCACCACCACCCCCTCCCTATAGAGGGGATTCTGACCCGCTGGGGGTGGTTTAGGGCTCCATGGGGGGGGTTTAGGGCCCTATAGGGGGGGGTTAGGGCCCCATGGGGGGGGGGGTTAGGGACCCATGGGGGGCGTTCAGGGCCCCATAGGGGGGGTCTAGGGCCCCATAGAAGGGGGTCAGTGCCCCATAGAAGGGGGTCAGGTCCCATAGAGAGGGTTCAGTGCCCCATAGAAGGGGGTCAGGCCCCATAGGGGGGGTCAGGCCCCATAGAAGGGGTTCAGTGCCCCATAGAAGGGGTTCAGTGCCCCATAGAAGGGGGTCAGGCCCGATAGAAGGGGGTTCAGGCCCCATAGGGGGGCTCAGTGCCCCATAGAAGGAGTTCAGGGCCCCATAGAAGGGGGTTCAGGCCCCATAGAAGGGTTCAGTGCCCCATAGAAGGGGTTCAGTGCCCATAGAAGGGGGTCAGTGCCCCATAGAAGGGAGTTCAGGCCCCATAGAAGGTGTTCAGTGCCCCATAGAAGGGGGTCAGGCCCCATAGAGGAGGTTCAGGCCCCATAGAGGGGGTTCAGTGCCCCATAGAAGGGGGTCAGGCCCCATAGAAGGGATTCAGGCCCCAAAGAAGGGGGTCAGTGCCCCACAGAAAGGGTTCAGTGCCTCATAGAAGGGGGTCAGTGCCCCATAGAAGGGGGTCAGGCCCCATAGAAGGGGGTCAGTGCCCCATAGAAGGGGGTCAGTGCCCCATAGAAGGGGGTCAGGCCCCATAGAAGGGGTTCAGGCCCCATAGAAGGGGGTCAGGACCCCCCGGTTCCGCTCTCACCGCCCGCCGCCGCCGTCCAACCCGGAAGTGCCTCGGTCCCTCCCCTTCCGGTGTGGCACTTCCGCCCGCGCGCTCTACTCCTATTGGCCGATAGAGGCGCGGCCCTCAGCCAATCAGCAGAGGCCCCGCCCTCCCTCCGGCAGTTTTGGGGTGAAAAACGTCGATTTTGGGGTAATGCGGCTTCGATCAAAGGCTTTTATTGGGGGAGGGGTCCCTGAGGTCAACTGAGGTCACGGGGGGAGGGGTGTCCCCCCCAACCATGTCCCCTAGGTCAAAGGTCACGGGGGGCCTGCCCCCTGCTGGAGTGGGGGACTCACAAGGGTTCATTATGGGGGGGGTCAATGGGGGGCACCAATGGGGGCTCAATGGGGGTATCAATGGGGTCATCAATGGGGTACCCCAATGGGGGCTCAATGGGGGTATCAATGGGGTCATCAATGGGGTACCCCAATGGGGGCTCAATGGGGGTACAATGGGGGGTATCAATGGGGCTCAATGGGGTTCCCCAATGGGGCTCAATGGGGGTATCAAGGGGGGTACCAATGGGGTACCCCAATGAGGTTCCCCAATGGGGTCTCAATAGGGTTCCCCAATGGGGTCTCAATAGGGTTCCCCAACGGGGTCTCAACCGGTTCCCCAATGGGGTCTCAATGGAGGTTCCTCAATGGGGTCTCAATGGGGCTCCCCAGTGGGGTCTCAATGGAGGTTCCTCAACGGGGTCTCAATGGGTTCCCCAATGGGGTCTCAATGGAGGTTCCTCACTGGGGTCTCAATGGGGTTCCCCAATGGGGTCTCAATGGAGGTTCCCCAATGGGCTCCCCAATGGGGTCCCCAATGGGGTCTCAATGGATGTTCCTCAATGGGGTCTCAATGGAGGTTCCTCAATGGGGTCTCAATGGGGCTCCCCAATGGGGTCTCAATGGATGTTCCTCAATGGGGTCTCAATGGAGGTTCCTCAATGGGGTCTCAATGGTGTTCCCCAATGGGTTCCCCAGTGGGGTCTCAATGGGGCTCCCCAATGGGGTCTCAATGGGGCTCCCCAATGGGGTCTCAATGGAGGTTCCCCAACGGGGCTCCCCAATGTGGTCTCAATGGGGTCTCAACCGGTTCCCCAATGGGGTCTCAATGGGTTCCCCAATGGATGTTCCTCAATGGGTTCTCAATGGAGGTTCCCCAACGGGGTCTCAATGGAGGTTCCCCAATGGGGTCTCAATGGGTTCCCCAATGGGGTCTCAATGGAGGTTCCTCAATGGGGTCTCAATGGGTTCCCCAATGGGGTCTCAATGGGTTCCCCAATGGGGTCTCAATGGAGGTTCCTCAACGGGGTCTCAATGGGTTCCCCAATGGGGTCTCAATGGAGGTTCCCCAATGGGCTCCCCAATGGGGTCCCCAACGGGGTCTCAATGGATGTTCCTCAATGGGGTCTCAATGGAGGTTCCTCAATGGGGTCTCAATGGGGTTCCCCAATGGGGTCTCAATGGATGTTCCTCAATGGGGTCTCAATGGAGGTTCCCCAATGGGGTCTCAATGGTGTTCCCCAATGGGTTCCCCAATGGGGTCTCAATGGGGCTCCCCAATGGGGTCTCAATGGGGCTCCCCAATGGGGTCTCAATGGAGGTTCCCCAATGGGCTCTCAATGGGGCTCCCCAACGGGCTCTCAATGGTGTTCCCCAATGGGGCTCCCCAATGGGGTCTCAACGGGGTCTCAATGGAGGTTCCCCAATGGGGTCTCAATGGGTTCCCCAAGGGGGGTCTCAATGGAGGTTCCCCAATGGGCTCTCAATGGAGGTTCCCCAATGGGCTCTCAATGGAGGTTCCCCAATGGGCTCTCAATGGAGGTTCCCCAATGGGCTCTCAATGGTGGTTCCCCAATGGTGCTCCCCAATGGGCTCTGTGGGGCCGTGGCTCTCAGCGGTGCCGCGGCGGCAGCACCTCTCGGTGCAGGAGGCGCCCGGTGGCCTCCAGGAAGGTGACGGTGGCGGCGTGGGGCTCCAGGCGGATGTGGGCGAAGGCGCCGGGGGACGCGGGGGCCCCATAGAAGAAACGCAGGGAACCGGGGGGCAGGGCCCCCTCGTGCCGTCGAGAGCCCTCCATGAAGTTCCCGGCGCCGCTCACCACGTAGCCCACCCCCCCCTCCCATAGGAACTGTGGGGAGAGAAAAGAGAGGGGGAGGGGTCAGGAAAAAATGGGGACCCCCCCCCCACCCCCCACCCCCCATTTTGGGGGGTTGGGGGTGTTGGAGTCTCAATAGGGGCAGTTTGATATCCCCCCCCCCCCCCCCGCCATGGGGTGGTCAAGGGGGGTCTGTGTCAGGGGGGTATTGGGGGATGTATGGGGTGTCTGTGGGGTACATGTGGGTATATATAGGGTATCTATGGGGCATCCATGTGTGTATATGGGGTACATGTGGGTATATATAGGGTATTTATGGGGCACCCATGTGTGTCTATGGGGTACATGTGGGTATATATAGGGTATTTATGGGGCACCCATGTGTGTCTATGGGGTACATGTGGGTATATATAGGGTATCTATGGGGCACACGTGTGTGTTTATGGGGTACACGTGGGTATATATAGGGTATCTATGGGGCACACATGTGTGTCTATGGGGTACACGTGGGTATATATAGGGTATTTATGGGGCACCCATGTGTGTCTATGGGGTACATGTGGGTATATATAGGGTATCTATGGGGCACACGTGTGTGTCTATGGGGTACACGTGGGTATATATAGGGTATCTATGGGGCACACGTGTGTGTTTATGGGGTACACGTGGGTATATATAGGGTATCTATGGGGCACACGTGTGTGTCTATGGGGTACACGTGGGTATATATAGGGTATCTATGGGGCACACGTGTGTGTCTATGGGGTACACACGTGTGTGTCTATGGGGTACACATGGGTATATATAGGGTATCTATGGGGCACACATGTGTGTTTATGGGGCACACGTGGGTATATATAGGGTATCTATTGTGCACCCATGTGTGTCTATGGGGTACACGTGGGTATATATAGGGTATTTATGGGGCATCCACGTATGTCTATGGGGTATACATGGGTATATATAGGGTATCTATGGGGCACACGTGTGTGTTTATGGGGTACACATGGGTATATATAGGGTATCTATGGGGCACACGTGTGTGTTTATGGGGTACATGTGGGTATATATAGGGTATCTATGGGGCATCCATGTGTGTCTATGGGGTACATGTGGGTATATATAGGGTATCTATGGGGCACACGTGTGTGTTTATGGGGTACACGTGGGTATATATAGGGTATCTATGGGGCACCCCTGTGTGTCTATGGGGTACATGTGGGTATATATAGGGTATCTATGGGGCACCCCTGTGTGTCTATGGGGTACACGTGGGTATATATAGGGTATCTATGAGGCACACGTGTGTGTCTATGGGGTACATAGACACACGTGGGTATATATAGGGTATATATAGGGTATCTATGGGGCCCGCATGTGTGTCTATGGGGTACATGTGGGTATATACAGGGTATCTATGGGGCACACGTGGGTATATATAGGGTATCTATGGGGCACACGTGTGTGTCTATGGGGTACATGTGGGTATATATAGGGTATCTATGGGGCATCCATGTGTGTCTATGGGGTACATGTGGGTATATATAGGGTATCTATGGGGCACACGTGTGTGTTTATGGGGCACACGTGGGTATATATAGGGTATCTATGGGGCACACGTGTGTGTTTATGGGGCACACGTGGGTATATATAGGGTATCTATGGGGCATCCATGTGTGTCTATGGGGTACACGTGGGTATATATAGGGTATCTATGGGGCCCGCATGTGTGTCTATGGGGTACATGTGGGTATATATAGGGTATCTATGGGGCACACGTGTGTGTCTATGGGGTACACGTGGGTATATATAGAGTGTCTATAGGGCACACGTGTGTGTCTATGGGGTACACATGGGTATATATAGGGTATCTATGGGGCATCCATGTGTGTCTATGGGGTACACGTGGGTATATATAGGGTATCTATGGGGCACACATGTGTGTCTATGGGGTACATGTGGGTATATATAGGGTGTCTATGGGGCACACGTGTGTGTCTATGGGGTACACGTGGGTATATATAGGGTATCTATGGGGCATCCATGTGTGTCTATGGGGTACATGTGGGTATATATAGGGTATCTATGGGGCACACGTGTGTGTTTATGGGGTACACGTGGGTATATATAGGGTATCTATGGGGCACACGTGTGTGTCTATGGGGTACACGTGGGTATATATAGGGTATCTATGGGGCATCCATGTGTGTCTATGGGGTACACGTGGGTATATATAGGGTATCTATGGGGCCCGCATGTGTGTCTATGGGGTACACGTGGGTATATATAGGGTATCTATGGGGCACACATGTGTGTCTATGGGGTACACGTGGGTATATATAGGGTATCTATGGGGCACCCCTGTGTGTCTATGGGGTACACGTGGGTATATATAGGGTATCTATGGGGCACACATGTGTGTCTATGGGGTACACGTGGGTATATATAGGGTATCTATGGGTCCCCCACGTGTACCTATGTGGTACCTATAGGGCCCCCACATGTATCTATGGGTCCCTCCCGTGTACCTATGGGTCCCCCCCGTGTACCTATGTGGTACCTATGGGTCCCCCACGTGTATCTATGGGTCCCCCCGTGTACCTATGTGTCCCCCACATGTACCTATGGGTCCCCCCGTGTCCCTATGGGTCCCCCACATGTACCTATGGGTCCCCCACGTCTACCTATGGGGTATCTATGGGTCCCCCACGTGTATCTATGGGTCCCCCACGTGTATCTATGGGTCCCCCCGTGTACCTATGGGTCCCCCCCCGTACCTATGGGGTACCTATGGGTCCCTATGCGTCCCCCACCTGCACGTTGTGGTCGTGCCCGCAGATGTAGGCGCTCACTCGGTGCCTCCGCAGGAGCGGGCGGACGAGGCGGCGGAGGCAGGCGCTAGGACCGTGCTCCCCCGCCGACCAGAGCGGGTAGTGCCCGGCCACCAGCACGAAGCGATCCCGCTCCGCCGCCACCAGGCGGCGCCGGAGCCACTCGAGCTGCGCCTCTGCCCCCGCCCGCTCCCGGGGCGCAGCGGAGCCGTCTCTATCGCGATAGCTGTCGTCTCTATCGCGATAGCCGTCTCTATCGCGATAGTTATCGTCGATATCGCGATAGCTGTCGTCTCTATCGCGATAGTTATCGTCGCTATCGCGATAGCCGTCGTCTCTATCGCGATAGCCGTCGATATCGCGATAGCTGTCGTCGCTATCGCGATAGCCGTCGTCGCTATCGCTGCCCCCACCGCACAGCAGGACCGTGTCCAGCAGCAGAAGCCGAGCAGAGGCGTTGGTGCCCGGCAGGGACAGGCGGAGGCTGTAGTAGGGGTGCGGGAAGTGCCTGCAAGGGGGGGAAGAGGGGGTGATGGGGATAGTGTGGGGGTGGCATTGGGTATGGTAGGGATAGTGTGGGGCAGCGTGGGGATAGTGTGGGGATGGCATTGGGGTATGGTACGGATAGTGTGGGGCAGCGTGGGGATAGTGGGGAGAGTGTGGGGATGGCATTGGGGTATGGTAGGGATAGTGTGGGGCAGCGTGGGGATAGTGGGGATAGTGTGGGGATGGCATTGGGGTATGGTAGGGATAGTGTGGGGCAGCGTGGGGATAGTGTGGGGATGGCATTGGGGTATGGTGGGGATAGTGTGGGGTAACGTGGGGATAGTGGGGATAGTGTCGGGATGGCATTGGGGTATGGTAGGGATAGTGTGGGGTAGTGTGGGGATAGTGGGGATAGTGTGGGGTAACGTGGGGATAGTGTGGGGATGGCATTGGGGTATGGTAGGGATAGTGTGGGGCAGCGTGGGGATGGCATTGGGGTGTGGTAGGGATATCATGGGGACACCATGGGGACACCATAGGGACACCATGGGGACACCATAGGGACACTATAGGGACACCATAGGGACACCATGGGGACACCATAGGGACACCATTGGGACACCATAGGGACACTATAGGGACACCATAGGGACACCATGGGGACACCATGGGGACACCATAGGGACACCATAGGGACACCATAGGGACACCATTGGGACACCATAGGGACACCATAGGGACACCATTGGGACACCATAGGGACACTATGGGGACACCATAGGGACACCATGGGGACACCGTAGGGACACCATAGGGACAGCATAGGGACACCATAGGGACACCATAGGGACACCATGGGGACACCATAGGGACACCATAGGGACACCATGGGGACACCATAGGGACACCATAGGGACACCATGGGGACACCATTGGGACACTATGGGGACACTATAGGGAAACCATAGGGACACTATGGGGACACCATTGGGACACTATGGGGACACTATGTGGACACCATAGGGACACTATGGGGACACCATAGGGAGATCATGGGGACACCATAGGGACAGCATAGGGACACCATAAGGAAACCATAGGGACACTATGGGGACACCATAGGGACACCTTGGGGACACCACAGGGACATCATGGGGACACCATAGGGACACCATAGGGACACCATAGGGAAACCATAGGGACACCATAGGGACACTATGGAGACACCATAGGGACACCATAGGGACACCATTGGGACACCATTGGGACACCATTGGGACACTATAGGGACACTATAGGGACACTATAGGGACACCATGGGGACACCATAGGGACACCATGGGGACACCATAGGGACACCATAGGGACACTATGGGGACACTATGGGGACACCATAGGGACGCCTTAGGGACACCATTGGGACACCATCGGGACACCATAGGGACACCATAGGGACACTACGGGGACACCATAGGGACACCATGGGGACACCATAGGGACACCATGGGGACACCATAGGGACACCATTGGGACACCATAGGGACACCATAGGGACACTATGGGGACACCATAGGGACACCTTGGGGACACCATAGGGACACCACAGGGACACCATAGGGACACCATAGGGACACCATTGGGACACCATAGGGACACCATGGGGAAACCATAGGGACACCATGGGGACACCATTGGGAAACCATAGGGACACTATGGGGACACCATAGGGACACCATAGGGACACCATTGGGACACCATAGGGACACCATGGGGACACTATAGGGACACCATAGGGACACCATAGGGAAACCAAAGGGACACCATATGGACACTATAGGGACACCATGGGGACACCATAGGGACACCATAGGGACACCATGGGGGGGGTCTGGGCCGGTACCAGCGGGGGGAGCGCTTCCCATAGGCGATCTGAGCCGAGACGTTGCCGGCGTGGTCGTGGTTCCCGGCCAGCACGAACCAGGGCAGGGAGCGGAGCGCCGGGGCCGTGAACACCCGCTCGAAGGTGTCCTGGGGGGACAGGGGAAATGGGGACCCCCATTGGGGTCCATTGGAACCGGCCCCCCCCCATTGGGGTGCATTGGAACCCCCCCATCGGGTACCTGGAAGTGGGGGTCCCCCCTATTGGGGTCCATTGGAACCGGCCCCCCCCCATTGGGGTGCATTGGAACCGGCCACCCCCCATTGGGGTCCATTGGAACCGGCTTCCCCCCCCATTGGGGTGCATTGGAACCGGCCACCCCCCATTGGGGTCCATTGGAACCGGCTTCCCCCCCCATTGGGGTGCATTGGAACCCCCCATTGGGTACCTGGAAGCGGGGGTCCCCCCCATTGGGGTCCATTGGAACCGCCCCCCCCCATTGGGGTGCATTGGAACCCCCCATCGGGTACCTGGAAGTGGGGGTCCCCCCCATTGGGGTCCATTGGAACCGGCTTCCCCCCCCATTGGGGTGCATTGGACCCCCCCATGGGGTACCTGGAATTGGGGGTCCCCCCTATTGGGGTCCATTGGAACCTCCCCCCCCCATTGCTTTCCATTGGACCCCCCCATCGCGTACCTGGAAGCGGGGGTCCCCCCCATTGGTTTCCATTGAAACCGCCCCCCCCCATTGGTTTCCATTGGAACTGCCCCCCCTCATTGGGTTCCATTGGAACCGTCCCCCCCATTGGCTTCCATTGGACCCCCCCATCGCGTACCTGGAAGCGGGGGTCCCCCCCATTGGGGTCCATTGGAACCTCCCCCCCCCATTGGTTTCCATTGGACCCCCCCATCGCGTACCTGGAAGTGGGGGTCCCCCCCATTGGGATCCATTGAAACCGCCCGCCCCCATTGCTTTCCATTGGACCCCCCCATCGCGTACCTGGAAGCGGGGGTCCCCCCCATTGGTTTCCATTGGAACCGCCCGCCCCCATTGGCTTCCATTGGACCCCCCATTGGGTACCTGGAAGCGGGGGTCCCCCCCATTGGGGTCCATTGGAACCGCCCGCCCCCATTGGCTTCCATTGGACCCCCCCATCGCGTACCTGGAAGCGGGGGTCCCACTCGTCCCGCACCCCCTCGTAGTAGAAGTTGTCCCCGAGGGCGAGCACGAAGTCGGCGCCGAGCTCCGAGGCCGCTCGCCCCATGGCGGCCGCCGTCGCCACCTCCCGTGGGGTGACAAAAGGGGGGTCCGGGACCCCCCCCCAGTCCCCCAGGGCCAGGAACTGAACCGAGCCCCCCCCCGACGCCGCCGTCATCGATACCCAGAGCAG